TGTTAATGTGAATAATTATTTAACTGAAGACCATATTGAATCCATAGAATTAACCAACTCCACTTCTAATACAATAAGTTTAAGTATATTTCCCTGTTAATGTGAATAATTATTTAACTGAAGACCATATTGAATCCATAGAATTAACCAACTCCACTTCTAATACAATAAGTTTAAGTATATTTCCCTGTTAGTGTGAATAATTATTAAACTGAATACCATATTGACTCCATAGGAGTTGGTTAATTCTATACTTAAACGTATTATGTTGGAAGTTCCCTGTTAATGTATGCTAAGTTTTCAAAACATAGAGTGAAGGAGAAACATATACGGTAAATAGACATTATAATATAACATACCCAAGCTATTATAACTCTAGACATTTTGTAGTTAAGATTTAAAAAGAAAGGATTCAGCAACCTTATTTCATAGCATCAAATCAAGTAAGTTTGAACGGCTTTAGTTTTATGTATATATATAATAATACACAAATTTGCAAAACATGAAATTAAGATCGAATTAAGGTAACAAGTTCACTTTCCTGCCACTTTCAAAAATCTACATTATTTACTTTGAAAGTAGTTCAGAATGCATCTTGCATCATCTTTAATGCATTCTAAAATTTTTCTAACATCTTCCAAGATACTTTCTCAGAATGCATCTTGCATCATCTTTAATGCATTCTAAAATTTTTCTAACATCTTCCAAGATACTTTCACGGTCCTCCGTTGTCACTTGTTCAAAGTGGTTTTTATGTGGATGAAATATATCTGGCAGATATCCTTTTTCCAAAGCTTTATACAGCTTCAATAAAGCTTCGACAAAGATTCTGCCCAGTGAGCTATCAGGATCTAAATCTAAGCTGAGCAGAATAACAGTAAATATGTGTGAGCTATAAAACCCACTTTTGTACCACTCCATCTTATCTCTGAGTGATTTAAGTATACGGATGGCCTTTTTATTTTGAAAAAGACGACTCAAGACATGTTTGCAAAGTGGAGTCAGGTCAAGTTCCCAAACATTCCTTTCTTCGTTGGGTAAGATATGAGCAATAGGAACCTTTCTTATGCTTAGGTGGTCAAGGTTACTATGACACAGCTCCAGTTGCTTTACCACTAATGGCATTTTTTTCAGTTTATTCAACACAACTTGTGAATTGGACACGTCAATAGCTGGCACTACATCAATTTTTATTTTAGCATTAGTATGGTTGTTGGTGATTCTTATCTGCATGGCCTTAACACCTTCTTTAGCTTCTATATGTTTTCCTGGCAACATATCTAATTCTTCAACAGAACTCTTACATACATCAAATACGCTCTTCCTAAACTGTATGCTATTCTTATTACAAGTCACTTGAAATTCATCCATTTCCAGGTTATATAACAACTAAAAGAAAACAAAATATTCATACCATTAAAAGAAACAATCAATTATTAACAATTAGATATATTTTTTTTATCACAGTTAAAAAAAAGGTTACTGTCTGAAGTGATCATGATGAGTAATATAATACAGAGATGACAATTTTTAATTTGTTGTTTCTTGTTATAGACAAAGCTCACGATATGTTTCTTCTCTACACGCACTGCGAGTATCAATGTTCTAAACTCTCAGGACTTCTGCTGAGAGGCTTGGTGTGGCAGGTTGTAATAAGATGTTCGACTCGCAGTCTGAGAGTCGAGGTATAGAATTCTCGTCACCGAACATGCTTGTTCTTTCACCCGTGGAGGCGATATAATGTGACGCTCAATCTTATTATTCCTTGGTAAAATAGCAGCCCAACAATTGACTAGCTGCCTTCCCTCATAATCTATTGCTGCTAAATTAGGGACGATTAGCGCAGATACACCTCGTGTAGCTTTGCTCGAAATTCAAAACAAACCACACCAAACTTCTGCAAATCACAAACGTTTTTAATAAATTACACAATTATATTATAGTTCTTTCCTTACCTTTCGTTATTTAAAATTGAGTATTTATTAAAACGGCAGTTTTTCTCACATAAGTAATATCCTGAAAATTAATATGCTCGTTTCTTATGTCTTTCGATATTAAACAAAGAATTTAGCTGACTTATAAATAGCACCCTCACTAGCTTAACAGTAAGTCTGTAGATTTGTAATGCTAAAAATTGGGTTTTCAATACCTGTAATGAGTACAGCCCAGATAGCCCATTGTGTAGCTTTGTGCTTAACAACAACAAACAAAGAAAACTTATAAGATATATGATTTCTATTTATAAACCTGCCTTACCTGATCAAGATGTCGCAGCTGAAAGTCAAAATCATAGCGCCCTCTTACATGGAGATTTGTTCTACAACTTCCAACTGGATAGATCTGTACGTTTGATTCTATATTTTTACGTATACATTCCACTACATACAGAGCCTCACGTTTTTGAGACTTCAGTTCTTCCCGGGAAACAATCACATACTGATTAAACACTGCATTCAGTGATTTAGTCAATTCCTTCAAACTGGTTTCAGTGATGGAGAAAGTATCAGCAAAAGAACCTGAGGATAAAAACATGTAGCAGTACTGTTGTCAGATATGATGTTTTCTTAGTTGATGAGAAATATGTTAAATGAAATACTACATTGGACACTTTAAGGTACCTATACTTTAACGTCCTACCTCTAAATAAAATGTTATATCCATAAGTTACCGGCATTGAAAATACATAAATACATCCAATACATTAACGTCCTACCTCTAAATAAAATGTTATATCCATAAGTTACCGGCATTGAAAATATATAAATACATCCAATACATTAACGTCCTACCTCTAAATAAAATGTTATACCCATACGTTACCTGCATTGAAAATACATAAATACATCCAATACTTTAACGTCCTACCTCTAAATAAAATGTTATACCCATACGTTACCTGCATTGAAAATACATAAATACATTCAATACTTTAACGTCCTACCTCTAAATAAAATGTTA